TTCCCTGCCCAGGTCACACGCCCAGCTCACTGGAAAGTCCTCAGACCCAGTCACCAATCTGATTCTCTCCAGTAACCTCACCATGGACCCCTTGAACTCAGCATTCACAAGTTCACACTGAACGTCATATTCCATGGTCATGTGCAGAGAGACAGTCCCTTCCCATGTCTAGATTCCTCATACCCACCACACAACACATTTCCTATGTATGACACTGTGTTTGTCAGCCAGTGCATGGCTGAGTGAGTGAATTGCATGTGAGAGAGTGAACGTGTGCAGTCGTGTGCAGCTATGCTTATGCTGAGAATACATCCTGAGACCTCTGCCCCTTCTTCTTCCTCTTGGTAGCTCTGGCTCTCCCTTTGGGACAAGGGACTTGGCAAATGTTCCTTGCCTCCTGAGGTGGGGTGTGCCTGGCTGGATTGTTGAGCAGGTAGTTTTCCTGTTCTGGATGATTCTTGGTCAGCCCATCTCTGTACTTGGACTGGTGAATCAAGAATGCATTGGCAGGCAGGGCACATTCAATTTTCCTGAGGTAGAGCTCAGGCTTCGGTCGGGATCGTTCCTGGAGCAATCTCCACTGCTGTAAGGTGATCTGCTTAACTGATGTCTTTTGCTTGGGCTCCTCTGACCCAGGACCCCTGTTGCTGGAGTGTCTCTCAGGCTCCTGTTGGGTTGCTCTCATGTCTGTGTGCTCAGCCCCGAGGCATCTTGGTTCCACATCTAGGGACACACTCCCAATGTCTCTTTCCAATTCACTCTTCTGGATGTAAAAGAGGACATAAGCTTGTTGGCTCAGGGCAGAAGAAATGTCACAGGCAGTTACCTTAGCGTCATCCATTTTGAACCACTGGCCGTTCCCGGCTTTGATGTAACAGAAGTAATGTCCGTTGTGACAACTCCAACCAGCATGGACCAGCACAGCATAGAGAGAATACACAAGTGGTCCTGCATTCTGCTGAGACAGATACTGTTGCATGTCAAGATGCTCAGGATATTGCACCGCCTTCTCCTCTTTGATGCCTGTGAAATCTGAGAACCGTTTCAATAAAATGATAAGGACTTTCGAGGAAGTGTGCAGAGTCAGTGTCTTGGAAGCTGGCACCTTTTTGAGACAAAAACTACAATGATACAAATTCTCACCATCCATCTTTTCAGGCTTCACCAACAGTTCCAAAGCGTGGGTCACACTCTGAGCCTCCTGGATATCCAGGATAACGTCCAGGTAAGGGTCTAGCGTGTTGGAAACGCCATGGCACTGGAGACACTTGATTTGAGATTGCCAGTACCCTCCAAATATTTGACGGATTAGGGTGGTGTCCTCAGAGTGCCGGTCTAGCTGTTTGTACCCATGCAAACATGCTTGCTGCATGGCATTCACAGTGAACATTAGAAATTCATGGGCATCTTCCTGCTTGTGTCTATGGAAGCCAGTGACCAGTTCCCTCAAAGGCTGGATAACATCTCCGGGACTACGGAGGGCCCAGATAATGTGAGCTTGCATCGTACACAGGGTGCAGGGTCTCTGCATTTGACAGGTTTCCGAGTGCCGCTGGGACAACATAAAGCTGGCAAGAGGCGGGGTGTACGTCAGACACTGCAGGGCTGCATTCACGTAGCAGGTGTTGCCCATATTCTGAAGCCCCGCCCCAACCACAGTGGGTCTCTTCCAATTCCGAAGGTTCTTTGTGGGAGCCGATGCTGCTGCCATAGGAGACAGTCGATCATGCAGGTTTCCCACTGTCTTGGACAGCGGGGATGGATTCGCAGGTGGGCAGGCTCCCCAGTGGACTTTGGCACCACCTGCATTGGACCAAGCTGATTGGAGTTTCGTAGAGACGTTGAACCGAGCCTCATCTTTCCGGTGGAAAGAAGCAGCCTCCATGTCTCCAGAAATAATCTTCATGAGATTTATTATGCCAAAGTTCAAGTTGCAGAACACAGCTTCCCAGGCTGAGAAGGTTTCCAAAGGACGGGCTTGGCGATCTTATCCGCCCTTTTATAGCCCACCCAACACCCACGTGACCAGGAAGAAGCCCACCAATCAATCAACTCCAAGGGATTGATTAAATTACTGGTTAGGGTAATTTAATCAATTTTTGGAGGATGGGTGAAAAGGTCACAGGGAAGAGAGTCAATAGTATTGGACTATTTGTAAAGAGACGGATGATTACTAGAATAAATGGGGTAATTACCTTGTAAGGTATAAAAATGCTGAATCACTATGTTGTAGACCTGACACTACATAAGTAATATTAATATCATATTGAATCCAACTTCAACTTAAATAATATATATATTTACTAATATGTAATTTAAAAAGGGACTAATGACAATACCCAGCCCCCAAATAAATAGTTTGTCATATTCAATCAAGGAGAGACTTATAGAGTTTTATGAAAAACATCAACAATATCCTAAATTGAAAGGGTGTACCCATCAATAACTGATAGTTAACACATACCCAGAGTTAGGAAAAACATCACACACACACACAAAAAATTGCAATACCATCCAAAATCCCAAAAGATTTCATCTAAAAGATGGGAAGAAAATAGAACAATTAATATTTGAAAGGACAGAATGAAAATGGTGCATGATGGACAAAAATGTGTTGAATTACCATGGTAAAGCAGGTTTTTTTATTCAGATAGGGTTCTGATCATTTGGCCTTAGGAGGGTTGTCCTGAGTGTAAAGAGGCCGCCTGGTCCAGGCACAAGGCTGGACAAGGGTCATTAGTGGCCGGAGAAGCAAGCCAGGAGCAGGCAGCCCCTGCGAGCCTGGGAGACGAGGCTGAGGCCAGACGCAGCTGCGGGAAATCCCCTTGGTGTCTGGCTGTCCAGGGATGAAGGTCCAGGACAGAAGTGGCGGGGCCAGGGCTACAGGCGGAATCATCAATAATAAATGAGATGCAAATGAAAATGTCACTGGGATTTCAAATATACACAAATCATAAACTGCAGAAACCACCCAGAGGGGCAACACTATTGAGAAACGGAATATCCCCACTGGTGCCAGCACCAGTGTTGAGGAAGGGATTCAGGTGAAAGTTGTTTGTTGAATTGCTTAGGGGGACAGGGTGGCCCCTGGACTGAAGCAGAAAATGCCAGAATGGGTTGGTTCCCATTTCTGATCCAATACTTCTTTAAATAGGAACAAAGATATGTGCCTCAAACTATCCATGGCCAGGTGACTAGTGGAAGAGAAATGGTGGAAAGAATCCAAATATTGAGCAATAGGACAAGAAGATAAACTGGGAAGTCCCAGTTCAACCACAACAATCTACAGGAAAGGACTGTGACATTGAATGACATAGTGTCCACATGGAGACTTCTCAGGGACAATAGCTTGAATCAGGGGACAAAGGGCAAAATAAGCCAGCCCCAAAAGGACCAATACTGTGGGATTCCTTTCCAATGACTTTGCTAGAGCAGACAGCTTCTGAGAAAAGGGAAAGAGAATGGCGGCGGAGAGGATCCGCACTGAGGAAAAGAAGAAGAGATAGTGTTTGATATTAGGAAATGGAGTTGCAGTAGTAAAAAAGTAAAAGCCCAGGTGGTGGACAATGGTGATGGTTGCACAGCAGTATGAATGTGCTGCATACCGAATCTAGATACGTCAATGCATTGGGAAAGCACATTTCATCTCCTACACATCTCACCACATTCAAAAACCATCAAGTGCAGAAGGAAACAGGTGTACACACATGACCATTTTTCTTACAGATAATACATATTCATAACATTTTCACATGGGTCCCCATAACATGAAAACACCTAAAACTGCTAAACGACCAAGAAAAGTACTTTCCTTCAAAGCCTGCTAC